AGCTGCTACAGTATAGTACTCTGTAAAAGATTGTTTAGTTTTACTGTAGTAATATATCAGTTTATCTCTTACAGTAATAATAGTCTGTGCTATAACATTATCTCAGACTGAATTTCTTTTTAAGTGATTTAACTGCTTCTTAAGATAAGTAAATAAACTATTATACACTCATCAGACTGACTGCAGCATTAGTGTATAAGTGATTGAGACTGTCTTTATTATCTTATAAAACTGAAACAGTAAATCAATCACATATTTCAACTGAGTTCACTTCATATCAGAAAGTTTCAATATCTGAATTTTTTTCTGATCAGAGTGTTACACTCAATGATTAATTATCTGATACAATTAAAGAGTCTGAACAGCTATCTTATATATTAAACTTCACTGTGTTCTAACATTCTGTATCATATTCAGTGATGTAACTGATTTATTTATTTATTGAATCTCATGAAATCATTGTTATTATTTAGAGAAGATATAAATCACATTAGCAATGTTTTGAATCTGTGATATTTAAATTATTAGTCAATCTATTCAAAATTAACAGTAGTATTATCAAAAAGTGTTATTAAAAAGCAATATTAAAAAGTGTTATTAAAAAACATTATCTTTTATAAAGTGAATATAAAAGTTACTTGAGTAATTACTTTTATCTTATTCTCATCTCAAGAATCAGTCATCTTATTATTCTTCATCTCAATATTAAGATTCTTTATCAGTGTTTACATCACAAGTTAAATCACATGAGCAATACAGAGAATATGACCTTGTTTATTATTTCAGAAATGCAAAGCCAATTTTTGCTTCAAGCTGTTCATTATAGTGTAGTTATTTACAGCATTATCAGTTATAATTGTAAGAAGACTGAGACTAATATCTCAATAGTCATTTTTAATCACAGTCATTAATATCTCTGTTATATAATCCTCAGTATGACTACTGATCAATGATTTAAATTCAATTAATGTCTCTTAATAAGTTCAGTTCTCATCAATATAATAACATATAACTTTCATAAATGTAAGATTATTTATACTAGTTCATACATTCACTGTGAGAGATACTCTTTGATGATTCTTCAACTCTGATTCTAGATATTGTATATTAACTTTGTAGTGTATCTTGAGATTGAACTGAAGACAGAATTGATGTAGAATATGAAGATTTGAATTAAGCATTTGAAGAAGTGTTTGAAATTCAGAGTTTTCAATTAATTGAAGAGAAAGATTCAGAGATATACATATACAAAGTAATTATTCATGAAAGTTATCAGATAAGAGTTATGAAATCAGAGTACTGATATATAATTATTTTTACATGATTTTCTTCAAATTAGAAAGTTAGTGTTACTAAAAATTATTATCTAATAGAGTAACTTATCAGCTCAGTAGTAACTTTCTGATTATTTTTCTTTTATTGTCTGCATTCTGATGACTTCAGATGTTGAGAAATTTCTTCAGAGCTATGATCAGTTTATAATGAATGTTTCTGAATAAAGTTACAGTGATTGTAGCAGAGAGATGACTCTTCAGTAATCTGTAATACAATCTGTTGATAATTATTTCATAGTTCATCTCAGTGTTTGTGTTGAGTTTTTCATAAATTTCATGACCTGAAATCAGATGTGAAGAATGAAGTAATTATTCATTATAATTGAAAGAGAGCATTCTGTGTTGAATTGTAAATAATATAGACTTTGTGATTTACAGTGATTTCTTGAAGAGTTTATGAATCTTCAATAGAAGTAGAAGAAGTGAAAGAAGTGAATTCAAAAGATATGATAATAATTTAAGAAAGATAATAATTTATTTTCAATAACTGATCACTGATGTGTATAAGAAGAATTAATATAAGAGAAAATAATCTTCTTTCTTAACTTAGTTATAATTTTAGTACTAACTCAGATTGAATATCATCAATGTATAAAAGTAAATAAATAATCTTGATTAATCTCTATCATATTTCTTGAAATATATTAATATTATGAAAGAGAGTGTTATCAAATTATGTTATCAGATAATATTATTAAAGATATATTAATATTATGAATATCAATATTGCAAAAATGTTGATACGTATACATTATAGTGAGATGATTAGTTGGATATAGATATATATATTATTTCTGATATTGGTATTGATTACAACTTGTACAATAATTTTTGAAACTCAAAATTTAATTTTAATTATTAACTATAGTTATGAACTTATAACTAATTAATATAAAAAGAAAAAAACTTTTTCTACTTATTATCTTTCTTCTCTTTCTTATTCTTCTCATCATTCTTTATAATTTACTTCTCATTCTTATTCTTCTTCTTCTTCTTCTCATCTGAGATGATAATCATCTTAAAATCTCTCTCTGCTGTCTTCTCAGAGAAGGATTTCTGCTGTTTTCTCTCAGCCAGGTCAACCTGTATCTTAAAATCCTGCATTTTCTAGTCTGCTGTCTCAGGTTCCATCTCAGCAGTAAGCAGATTGACATGCTCAGAGAGCAGGGCTGTCTTCTTAATATTCTGAATTATGAAGTGCATTCAAGACCTGAACAAGGCCTTAATTCTCTTCTCTGCCAGCTCCTGCTAATCAATTAGAGAATAGAAGTATTATCAAAAATTGTTATCTCTTAACAAAAAACTTATCAGTTTTGACTTTTTTATCTTCTACTTTAATATCTTCTTAATCTTCTTCTACTGCTGCTTATTTATAGTAATACTCTTCTTCTCTCTCTCTCTCTTTATCTTGACCTCAAATTATTCACAGAACTTCTTCTGATCTCATTACTACTGTATAAGACTCTTCACTGTTTTCTTTTTCAATCTCTCACAGACAGTGTTATTCACATTATTTCTATACTTAGTTCAGTCTAAATCTATCAGAAGTATTACTTAAAATTATTATTATTCTACTCTCTTACAGAGCATCTTTAAGATATTATAATATGTCTTACAATCTATCTCTCTGCACTTGAACATCTTCTTCTTCTCTCTCTTCAATCTGTGATAGTGCTCATGCATCTTGATAGTCTGCAGAACTGCAGAATATTTGAAGAGAAATGACATAATTGATTTTAATAAGTGTTGAGAGAAGGGTGAAGACAGGCACTAATATAATAATAATAATGATAATGATGATGATAATGATGATGATGATAATAATAATGATGATGATGATAATGATGATGATGAAAGAAAGAGTGTATTAAAATATATTATTGACTTATTAAATATAAAGAGATAAAGAAACTATTAACAGCTTTCAGAGATGTACAGAAACAGCTACAGTGTTATATAGTAATATTATCTTCATTTAATGCATACACTATTGATATTCTTTGTATGCATTTATCATATAAGAAATACATGCAGAAAACAGATCTTTATTACTAGAAAGAATGATTACAGTGATTCTCTGTTTTCATATTATAAAGATAAGTTATTCTTATTTCTTTCTTCTCTTTTTTCTCTTCTTCTTCAATTCATCACTAAGTTCAAGCTGGTATAAAAACTATTAAAACACTCATAGAAACTCTCAAATTGAAGAGTATAGACTAATCAAATTTTAAATACAGATGAATTAAATTAATTTAATAATACTAATTATTTATCTCTCTCTTAATAAAATAATAGTTATATCTTCTCTTTCTCTCTCTCAAATGAAATATAGCTTATGAAAAGTGAGTATCATGTTAGATTATAATAATCAACATGACCTCAGTATGCAGAGCTGTATATATACAGTGTATACTGAATTGAGAGACTGTGTGAGTTGTAAACTGATAGTAGTATCTCAGAAAGAGCTGTGCAGTGTGAGAAAGCTGCAACTCTTAATTATATATACAGAGAGTAAATCACTGCAGTAAGTGTATATATATTATATAAAAGTAACACTTTTTAATAATACTCAGTCTCTAATATTATGAAAATAGAGTCTCTCTGTGAGATCTGTTTTTATCAGAAGTTAAGAAATCTTATATTTCTCAAGATTATCTTTGTATATCTTATCTGTGAAATTAATGAAGAAAATTATTGATTTCAGTATTCTACTCTTGATATTATTCAAGTGATAGCAGAGTTCATTCTGATCACACTTTTTAAGTGTATATTTTCTAATTATTCACATTTATACAGATATATACTGATTATTTATTAAATAATATTAAGATAATAACTTATTATAACTGTGTTACTCTTACTATAAGAGATATATAGTTAATAATAAATATTATAAAGACTCTGAAAAGTAAGTATTTTAGAGATGCTATAACTCTGTAATCTTGATTTTTTTTTTTTTATTTTTTATTTTTTTCTTTTTCTTTTATTTTTTTTTTATTATGATTTTTTCTTGTATTTATTTTATTTTTTATTTTTTGTTTTTTTTTTGTATTTTATGTTTTTTTCATAATTAAAATTATATGAATTATAATCTATGTTCAGAAAAGTAATAATATTTGATAATACTCTCTATTGAATTTTCAACAAATGAGCACTATATTATGATATTATGTAAGTGAGAAATAATTTTATAATCTTATTTAATATCATTCTCAATAATAAGATCAGAATAAAAATGTGACTAAGAATTTAAACATATTCTTTATCTAAGACTAGATTTTTATTTGAAAAGTGAATCTGAAATCTTTAATATTTGAAATAATGTGATTTGAAATCAATGTGATGAACACAAACCATGATCAGGAGTAATGCTTTTAGGCAATGTGACAACTGTAAAGTTTGATCCTGGTCCCAGACACGGTCACACGGGCCAACACCGTGTTGGCCGTTACGGCCGTTGCGGTTAGCGATCCCACTACATCACGTGACCCACCACTATATTATACTCTTTGTAGATAGATCTATCAATACAACCTTTAACTATCCTACAAGTTCCGCACTTAGCGAGGTCAAGTTTTCTGCTTCCTGAACAGGTTGCTGGGTGTGGTTGATTATATCAGCTTACTAATCATCTAGGGCCTACTATTAGTTCGACAGCATTGAATGAACAGATTTATCAAATTCCAATTGTCCGCTCTCCCTATATAATTTGCGTGCGACGGCACAATCTAGCCACCACCATGGATTGGAGTCCCAGCGGAATAGCGACCACCCTTCTCTCCGGCAACCTAATTGCCATTCTCGTTACCTGCACCATTGCCCTCTCGCTCCCTGTCGTCTTCCATATTCTTCTCTACCAAACCTCACCCGCAAAGGACTCAAGGGATTTCTTGCTCCTGGGTCCTAGCGGGTCAGGCAAAACAGCCTTATGCTCACTCGTATGTACAGCGCCCCGGTTCCAAGTTTTAAACCCATATAGCACAGCATATACGTGAAATCTTGATAGCTAACAGTGTATAGTTGCAACAACGCTCGATATCATCCTCTTCTCCGAAACCACCTCGAGAAACACATACCTCCCAAGTTTCATCCTTTGTCCACATAACTCTCCCGCCAACTGTCCCTATTGGCTCCAACAAATATCGCTCAGTCAATGACCCGACTCTCGGAGAAGCTACAAAGAACCCGATTACATATCGGCTCCGAGATACCCCTGGCCATGGCAAACTCCGTGCATCCCAGGGCATCGCTTCATTGTTGTCCCTCTCAGATCCTAAAAGGAAAGGCTCTGTTGGGATCCGTGGAGTAATCTTCATGTTGGATTCCGCTGCCCTATCACAAAGCGATAAAACGCTACGGGACACCGCTACCTACCTACACGATGTGCTCATTACGCTACAGAACCGAGTGTACAAGAACGGGAAGAGAATATCATCATCATCTTCTAAAAAGACACCTAAGATTCCCGTCCTGGTCGCTGCGAATAAGCAAGATTTATTCACAGCCCTGCCGCCGGGTTCAATAAAGGCGAAGATGGAGTCCGAACTTGAGAATATCAGAGTCTCGAAACGGCGAGGGTTGTTGGATGTGAGCATGAATGGCTTGTCTGCAGAAGAGGAGCCGGATATGCTAGGTGGGGACGAAGAGGAAGGGCCTTTTACTTTTCAGATGCTAGATGAGCAAATGGGGATTGAAGTTGACGTTATGGGGGGTGCTGTGTTGAACGATGATGAAACGGATCGTGGGGGTGGGATGCGGCGTTGGGAAGAGTGGATTGGGATGTGCTTATGATGTGCTTGTTATGCACGAGGTATTGCGCAGATCATGAACTCGGTTCCCATTTTTATTTTCCATTCGACATACCCTCTAGCCGGGGTCTTTCCTATTTTTTGTTGCTGATCATATCGATCAATCTCCTCATCTACCCCGCCATCGTCATGAAAAGAGAGTGCATATGTGTATGCCCCGGCAAAATGAAATTTGGGTATATTTCGCGGCCGGAAATGGAAATAGCTCTTCAACTTAGGATCATGATGAAGACGGCCCAGACCATGCAATTCCCATCCATGTCTAGGAACAAGGCATACGTGAAGTCCTCATCATGAGTTACCTGCCAATATAAAATCGCCCAACACAGTTGCTCCTTGCCTGTCCTCTCTGAGTTGGATAGAAAAGAGGATGCTCCTGATATCCGTCAACAAATTCCCTCGGAAATGCCATTTCTTTGCCAACCATCCCCCAACACCTCGGCAACCTTCCTGTCAGTCCAATCCTACAAAACAGGAAAGAAATGAAGTAGTCAGTCGGTTAGTCATTAACAACAGCTCCTCCGAAACCCGCTCTACAATGCCACAATGTCGCCCACCGCTACCAGAGAATAAAAAAAAGAAAGAAACAGAGAAATCACGTCGAACCACTCACCCACAGTTGCCTCGCCAGTTCCATATCGCCTGCCATACGACTGGTCTCATCCCTCTTCGCAACCGGCACAAAATACTGGCCCCTCACTCCACCACCTGCAGCAATATCTCCACTAGCTGCCAAATAAAGCGCTGTCCCCACCGCATCCTGAATGGACTGCCCAGCCACGGAGAAAAACATTTCAAATGCCTTGCCCACTACGGTACCTAGATATCCTCTCCAGATCTTCATATGATCCGTGGCGATTTTTCCGGGGAAGAAGCTCTTGACATAGATGTGTTTAGTCGTTTCGTCATTGGCACCATTGCCGTCCACCACGCTCCGATTATACCTGCCGCTCTCACCATTCGTCGCAGCCGCTAAAACCTCACTAAGTCCCCCTTCCATGAGTCTCCTGCTAACATGGCACGTGAAGAGAATATTTGCCAGCTTAAAGCGGCCGTAGCGCCAGATACCATCATAACATGCGCTCTTGGTTGGAGATCCTTCGGATGGCGTGAGAAGGTTGAGGTCTAGTTCGCGGCAGAGGCTGTGGAGGGATGATGTGGTGAAAACGATGCAGGTGGAGGTGGCATCTGGGAAGCGGGTGACTGTGGAGTGAAGGAGGGGAAGGAGGAGGACGGTTAGGATGTGGTGGCCGACGTGGTTTGTGGCGAAGATGGACTCAATTGATTTGGGAGAAACTGGGGTCATACGTGTGTGTGGAGGTGAGTCAATGGGAGGTCCCGTTTTTCAGATTTGATGATATATTAATAATATATATCTTCGTAGGTGATCCCGGGTAATAGAGGAAAGTTTTTCAAAAAGGCGCCTTATGTTTATCAGAAGAAAGAGGGGTTAAGGGGCTGAGTTCTCATACCAGCATTGCATACGAGAATATCCAACCTATCAGCCCTCCCCCGAATATTCCACGCCGCCCTCCTTACCTATACCATATCTCCCAAATCGCATTGGATAAACTCAGTTCTCTGCATCTCGCACCAGTCTCCAGCTGAATATGCGGGTTCCTCTTCCAGATATCGACGGTAGCGTCATATTTGTCTCGTCTGCGACTAAAGTATATATAGCTTCGCGATGCCATAGAGGAGAAGCTGCATGCTTATCCCTAGAGAGATGTTTTTTTTAAATATATATATATATATATATATATATACATCTCAGCAACGTCAAAGTGTTGGATTAGGATATGGGATGGATGAATAGTAGATAAATGAGTACAACAATCGAACTGAAGAGAAAATTTAGAAATCGAACTTTCCTTGTCCAATGCCTGATTGACCTCCCTATTGGGATACGCGTAAAATAATAGCCGGCGACCACAATCGTTAATTGTCTATTGCCTATGGATTAGATGTTGTATCATAGATAGTTGTGCAGATAGATACCCTAGCCACTGCGACCACACGAAACGGGGCTTACAGTGATAATCACAGCCTTCCCATGAAGGTCTGGAACTTGAGATAATGAGAACCTCCGGGATGTAAATATACCTGTCATCTTCGACGTGTTCTTCTTCCAATTAACGGTTTGTGCAGCATCTTCGTTTGTAGATATAACTTACAGTGTATGTATGTACTTGAAGTTGCGTGGTTTAGTTATACGGCGTATGAGGCGGATATACTCATTTAAGCTAAATAAACATATTGGGAAAGCCACCCTTGCATGAAGCAAGCTGACGGGTTGACATTGAAAATCAGGAGCTTGAAAATAAGTAGAAATTCCCATGGATATTCGATGTTGAATTATATAGAATCTATCATGCTACATTAATAGCCAGAGGTAATTAAGTCATCGTCATATCTCCAGGGGTTTGTTATGTTGAAAACAGGTTGGAGCCTCACCACCTTTTTGATGTCGACATCATGGCGCAAATTCTATCTAAAGAAAGCCCGAAGACCTGACTGACTTGCCATAGGAATGGAGAGAATAAAATACCCAAAACTCAAACACCAGAGCGGCCACCGATGGTTACAGACTAAGACAAATCAGCCTTGCACTTTACTCTGGTGTAGCAGCCAGGTCAGTAAATCCACCTTGGTAGCCACAGCCACCGGCTTCATAGCTCCGCTTTCATCCTTCTCCGTAACAACAGCGGCACTGTTCCATTCGAAAAAACGCTTTAATGCGCTCAGCGGAGTTTCTAGCGTTATTTCAATAAACTGGCGACGCTTCTCTGCGCCCGGCTCAGATTCAGAACGTGTCGAGCCAGCGAGGAGTTCTGGAGCAGACCGTGAGATATCTCTGGGATCTGTTACTACCTCTGACAACTTCGAGAAGTCAAACATCACATCGGAAACGGGACTGCTGCTCGTAGCTCTTCCGTGAGAAAGGCGGCTGAGGATATTTCCGAGAGTTACAAGACCAACCAAACGTCTCCCCGTAGGGGCAAGCACGGGTAATTGATCGAAGCTTTTTTCTCTCATTACCTCGATGGCGGCTTCGCATGTGGAATTTGATAGGATTGTAGTAACTGGCTTTAATCTGAGCGCCTTAACTTTGGCCCCTGAGAATGGATCCTTTGGACCGCGTGGTTGCAACTCCGGTGATGGAGGCTCCGTCGGCGGGACCTCTGGAAGTAGATCATTCGCCGCAAGCCAGTCATCATCCGCAAACTAAAGGGTAATCAGTACCATTCATATCGACACCACATCCTAGGGCATAATGTAAAAAAGGAAATACCTTGGTCAGATAGCTTCGAATGCTATCAGGGAGAACAACAACGATAACGTCATCCTGAGTAAAATTGAAGTCTTTGGCTGCCTTTGCAAGACCGGCAATCGCACTTCCACTACTCCCACCAACGAGAAGGCCCTCTTCAGCTATCAGCCGTCTGGCATACTGGAACGACTCCCTGTCACCCGTCTTATACCATTTGTCAATAGTACTACGGTCCAGCACATCAGGAATGAAGTCGTAACCGATGCCTTCTACCTTGTATGGCTCGTTCATGTGCTCCTCGTTCAAAATTTCCGGTAACGCGAGGACGGAGCCGTGAGGGTCCGCCGCAATGACTTTGATATTGGGATTGTACTTCCTTAGACCACGGGCAACGCCAGTAATCGTACCACCTGTCCCCGCTCCTGCTACCACAGCCTTGATCTTGCCTTCAGTTTGGGTCCATATTTCCTCCGCTGTGCCATATTCGTGCGCGAGTGGGTTATCTTCATTTCCATACTGGTCTAAAATGTGGGCGTTTGGTAATTCCTTCTCCAATCGCTTTGCGACACCGATGTGAGATTCTGGAGAGTCGAAGGCGGCTTCTGTTGGTGTTCGGATAATTGTGGCACCCAATGCACGCAGAACGGAAACCTTTTCAGCGGACATCTTCTCTGGGAGAGTGATTATAGTTTTATAACCTGCCGGTGTATAACGTAAACCGTTAGAGAGCTGGGACAACCGATCGACAGAAGGAGTACACGCGACTCAGGATTACAACTCACCTTTCACTGCAGCAACAAGAGCAAGTCCAATACCCCTAATCACCAATTGTAGTCAGTCAACCGATCTTAATCCAATTGGCTCCAGCCAACATGGGCATATCCGGTTATCACTCACGTATTTCCACTTGTAGGCTCAATCAGCGTATCACCTGGCTTTATTCTTCCCTTGCGCTCGGCCTCCTCAATCATGCGCAGTGCAATCCGATCTTTGACACTACCCCCCGCATTGAAGTATTCCAATTTAGCATAAACAGTCGCTTTGATACCCAGACTCTTGGGCACCTTGTTGAGGCGGACTAGCGGGGTATTGCCGATTTGTTGCGTGATGGATTCCATCACCACTGGAGGGTTCGTTTTGGTAGACATTGTCGCGGGGTGTAGATATGAGTGGACAATGAAACTGAGAGAGAGAGAGAAGGGCGAGAAGTAACGGAGGACGGAAAAAGTAAAGAAAAAGGTAGAATAGTTAGAGCGAGGTATGCCACCTTAGGTGAAGCAGGGCGGGTGTTGCCGATAATAACGGAGGTGTTTTTTTCGGCCTTCAGCAAAACTTCAGATGGGGCCGGACTGCCCTAGCTCGCCGATGCAAACCGCTTTGTGAAGTCAAGCATGAGAAAAGTATGTAAGAGGGGAACTCCAACATCTCAACAAGGTCATAATATTTCTAGAAAGGAGATAAAGATAAATCACTGCGACTGAATGCCTATACGTGGTCATCCTGAATTAAATGTATGTGGTGATGTGGCAATGCTCGCTTTTTCACAACTTTGTCTGAGCTAAAAAGGCTATTTTGAAGGCATATTATTGAAGGGTGTATGTGGAACTTCAACGATTTCATTGATATCAAATAAGTCACTCGGAATGAGTTAAATACATGGATACAAATTTGCGGTCCTTCTACATCGCACATCGGATGCTGCTCAGCTCTATGGTCAACCAGCCGATACAATCTAAGATACTAACCCATCAATGAATGCCAGTAGGTCCTGAAGAAGTTGTTCACGATGCGTGATATACAGGCCTGTCAAGGGACGAAATTGATTAGCAAAGGAGGGATACAAAAGATGAAATACCAATTACAACATTGGTTGGAAATAAAAGAATGAGACAAATGATTCACGCACCATGAGCACCCGACTCATACTTCCTGGCCACCGTCCTGGGAATCATATCCTTGATGATTTGGGTGCTGGACTCATAGGGACAACCCATGTCCTGATCTCCATGAACGCACATGATGGGAACATCAGTTTCCGCACCAAGTTTTCGCAAGCGGTCCGTGAAATCCACGCTCGTGATGATCTGGACACAGCGCTCGATGGCGAGGGAATCGGCCTGGGCAACAATGCCTTCCACCCGGCGGAGCGTGCATTCTGATACTTTGCGGTCTGACGAGAGTACAGCTAGTGATAGCGGGAGAGCTTCATGGGTGTAATCAGCCCGTGAAGCACGGAATCCTTCGACAATCGATCCCCACACCTCGCGCGATGGTGCCGTAGGGTTTTCCGGAGTGTTCAGGGGAAATGGAAGTGCGGGACCTATCCAGAAGAATCCCTATATATATCGACCGTCCGTTCGTGTTAGTGAAATTATCGTAAAACTTGCTAATTGCTAATGGGAATGTTTCGACATACCTTGCAGTTACTTCTGACATATTCGCTGCGCTCGTACGCCAGCAGAGTTTCTCCTGGGCCCATACTGGCTGCCACAAATACAAAAGGCCGGATATCAAGTTTCTCCAATAGATAGACCGTGTCCTGAGCGAAGACGTCATAGTCTATCTGCTCCTTGCCCGGTTCGGCACCGTTCCAGTCACTCTGACCGAAACCACGGCGATCAGGGGCAATGCATCTGAATCGATAAGTCTCGCAAAGGGGTAGAGTCTGTTGCTCAAACATCAGCGAAGACATTGGCCATCCATGGATGAATACCAGTGCGGGCTTCTGTTTGCCTGCATAGGTTTTGTCCACTCTGAATGGCGGGGGATTGCTTGTAGGTTGGTAATCCCTATAGAAGAGCTCGGCTCCGTCAAAAGGGCTGGTGAAGCGAGGCATGTTAAGGTAGCAATAAAAGCAATAGATGATTATTTGGTATTCTCTGGGTGCTGGAAATCGTTTTGATATTGAATTACTCGTCAGCTTTGTGAGGAAACAGGGGCGATATCAGCAGCGGTGTGGAGTTGGCTTTCATAATATATTCTTGCGACGATGTTAAATACAAAATATAACGAGCGCAACTGTTGGCTTTCGTTATTTAAGGTCATGTTTCAGGCAGATGCCCATGTGTATTTTGCACGTCAACTCTTTGGCAAGCACCAGTTGGTTCCCCGCGCAGTAGTTAAATATACGAGATTCCGTCCTCACACCTCATAACGTTATGGCTAGAAAGACCAGTACGGAAGACTTTTCACCATAGAAACTCTCAACCACCACAACAAAATTGTGGATTTGGTGGCTTAAGGGATACGAGCGATGATGTGATAGAGTTCTTCTGTTGAAATATGCAAAGGTTGAATGGAGTCAAAGGCTGTCGGTAGTTAAAGAATTGGTTTCTGGTTGTTCATTCATTTCAACGCTCAAGTATGAGTTGATTGATAGCACAAGAAACTGCTGACTTTTGCGTCCTATTCCAGACATCAGCAATTTCAGCTGAGCGGCTTTGACCCAGCTTCAACCTTTTTTTCCTTTCTAGGAACTGGGATTGAGCGGTTTATCCCTTAATGTAACGATTTAGCCGGGGTTAGTTTCGGGGGGTTTGCGCCGCGCTTTGTTTTCAGCAATCGTTCGCCATGCATCCTTCTGGCCATCATTGGATCACAGCTAACGTTAGGCATAGTAATCACTAACATATGTACGGAGTAATGGATATAACGTAGCTGTAGGTGGGAAAGATTGATCCTTCTATGATTATGGGAGCAGCTAGCTACGTTATAACGTGACTCACCACCCAACAAACTCATCCACCCAACGAACTCCAAAAAGCACTTTATAGAGCTGTTAATTTTCAACCATAGCATAACAATGCAATAAGATATTAATAAAATATCTTAATGCACACGAGCCTCTGTGTGCAAAGATGTTGCAGAGCTAAGCTCAAAACAGAAGGCCCTGCAAGATTGATTTTACAGCTTATTATTAATAATAATAGAAGGGATAGAACTGTAAAAACATATAGAGATTCATTTTTCAGTGCAAAAGCATCAGCTAACTAAGCAAGGAAAAAAACAAAAAACACTTCACTCTGCCCTGCTGACTCATATGTCATTCTCAAGAACAGTTTGAGTGATCTGAAAAAGGCTTGTAATAGTTCTGAATTTGGTCTTCAGAACTGCATTCTTCTTGCACAGAGTCTCATTTTCAATATAAAGAGTCAAAATCTCAATATCACAATCATCAACTGACTCAATACTTACTGTCTGTTTTTTCAAGATTCTAGTCTCTGTATTCTCAGCTGCAGAGTACTTCTTGAATGAACTTTTCTTCTTAACTTTCTTTCTCTTTTCATTCTTCTATTTCTTTTCTTTCACTTTATCATTCTTCTTACTGACATTGACTATATATAACTATTAGTTAATTGTATTAAAATTGATATATTTCATATTGAAAAGTGACTCACTTCTATGATAAGAGTAGTAACTTTCAGTGCTATTATAATAATAACTGATACAAGCTTTATAACATTAATTCAGAGCACTGAGATAGATGATAAAAGAGTCTTCTCTTCTAATACAGTGACTGTAGAGAACTGTAAAAACAGCACTATGAGATTATAGAAGAAGAACTTTATAATTTGTATTGATTTTTATATTAATCTGATAACTCTTTCATAAGACTGACTTATAAGTATAAAGCAATTTGATGAGAGTCTGTAGCTTCTTTAACAGCTTCTCAGACATTCTTTCAGTCAAATGAGTCAACAGTTGACTTGATAATCTAGAACTGACAGACACAGCAGAGACAGACGCAGACATAGATACAGAACTGAGAATGAGATTAACAGCTGATAGCTCAGCAGACTGAACAAGGTTATTAAGAACTGTGCTGACTGTTAGAATTGCAATTTTCATCATTTTAAGAATCTTACTTACAATAAACATGTTTTGAAATATTATTTTCAATTATAATAACAGTATTGATGATTTTTTAAACTTCTGATAAATTAATAGAGATAAATAACATGATTTCTGAAAAAAAAAAAAACAGCTGATAGAGATGAGAGATGAGAGATAAGATAAATTCTTCAAAGAGAAAGAGAATACTCTGAGATTCATTTACTTTCTCTTATACATGTGTTGATAGCTGTAAGAATTCAATATCTCTTATCACATAATACAATACAGATCTTAATAACACAGGCCTTAGAAGATTCTTGATCTCTCAGATTAAAAATATTATTATATTAAATCTAGACTGTATAGATCAATATTCAGATTATTTTAATATCTTTTATAGACTGCTAACTGCTCATTCTCAGATTCAGTGATTATAATAGAATTAACTGCAATAGATTTATTAAATTCAATGATTGAATTCAGTGAATCTGCAAGTAGAACAGATGAAAAGAATGATAGAACAGAGAATGAAGAACTTGTAGTAATAAAGAATGAGTGAATGAGCAGATTAAATATGAACTATGAAAAAGATGAAATAAAGAGCAGATGAAGTTATATAGAATATAGATTAGCAGAGATCTACAAAAAGAAAAGAAATATAACTTAGTTATCTATTAACTTTGATATCTTGTATAATCAATCTCATGCATCTGCATGCTTCTGCTTACTTCACTATCAGGCTGATGAAATCTGAAATAATCAAAGAGTTGTTCAAATAGAAGATCTTGATATATTTTAACCTGTGAAACCACAACATATGTGAGACCAGCCTGAAATTTAGTCTTGAAAATATTAAGAACAGTCTGATCAAGTGATAATTCTTGAGATTTATAAACAGTAATAATATATGCAACTGTAATAGAGAACTGTGTGTGACTGCAGACTTGATTAATATGAGAAAAGTCATAACAGCTGCAGAAGATAGGCACAAGTTTAAGATTCTCTCATTTCAAATAAGCAGAGCTGTCATATTTGTCAAAATTAATTAGCAGTGTAAATGAAGAATCTTGACAGAGATTCTTCACATCTGAACTTTATACAATATTATGAAAAGTCTTAAGAGCACTGTTAACAAGGCTGCAGTCTGTTCAAATATTCTGTAGAAGTATGATTTAACAGCTGATAAAGAGAGAAAGATTCTGATAAAGATTGTCAGTCTTATCAGAATCTAACTGAGAAGTGTCTATATCAATATTTATAACCTGAATATTAATAACAGGTTGTTTATGACTTCAAATAGCATTATTATTATAGGCATGAATATAATGCTTCTTTGTATAAATGTGAATTGTATTCTCAAAGACTGAGACTTCATGAGGGATAAGAGTCTGCACACACTTTGAAAGAAACTCTCAATCATTCAGAGTTAACTGATCAAGATGAAGATTTTTCAAGATCTTACAGAACTGACAGCTGATGACATCTTCACTCACTTATTATTAAATCACAGTAAGTTGAATGATTTTACTAAAAGTCAAGTAGATTTGATAGCTCTGAATGTCTTCTTTATAATCAATACATTCATTATAATAGAGTGAAGTTTGAAAAACAGATAAGAGCTGATAGAAATCTTCACTGAGAATGATACTGAGATTATTAAAATGAGCATTCTTGTGAGAGAATATGTAATGACAGGCCTGATTAATTCATGAAAGTTGCTGTAAATCAATCATTGACTTTTCATCAATTAACAGATAGTGAACATCCTTAAAAAGGGCCTGCAAAGATCAAAGATTTTGAGGGTTGAGTGATTTATATGATATATTCTTATGTATGAGAAGTCAAAATAATGCATATAAGATTCAAGTGTTAATGAAGTAAGCAGCTACATCAGTTGACATGGCTTGAATAATTGAGGTTGAGAGATCTTGAGCCTCTGCAAGATTTTGAAGAGTTGTAGATAAAATCATAATCAGATAAGTTTTATCAGTGTCATCTTTACTATCTAGATTAATTAATAAAGGATCTGAAGATCTGCTGTTAAGAATCTCAGTATAATGATAGAGAATAGTGTTATGAAGAAGATGTTGATCAGGGCCTAGAGTCTTGAGTGAGTCATATTCATGAAGAGTAGTATCTGCAGAGAAGTCAGCCTTTATATTATTTTAAAATTCAGTGTCAAGATTGATATAAGTGTCAACATGAGAGCTTCAATCATAGTTGAAATCTAAGAACTGATGACCAAGCTGTTCACAGTTTCAGGTGTCAATGAGGCCATCATTATCACACTGTGGGTTTTGATAGATGAGTAATACTCAAGAGAGATCAAGCTTCTCTTCATCATTCTGATCATCTTCAAACTCAGGTTCTGATTCTGACATATCTTCATCATAGACATCAACTGAGTAATTATGAGAAAGACAGTAATAATTAAAGACCTCTGTAAAAGAGAGTCAAGAAGTGAAGAGATCAATAATCTTGAGATCTTCAATTTAATAAAAAGAGTGATGAAGAAGAAGTTTGACACAAGCATAGTTCTCTGAATCAGTTTCAAACTGATAAACAGAAAAGTAGATCAACACTCAGGATTTTATATGAAGATTTCTCTTAATTTGATGACTGTGAGAAAAGATTTAAAGAAATTCAAGAAATGAAAGATCTTCAAATTCAGTTGACTGCTGCTTATATTTTTTTAAAAAGAATGAACTACATTATAATTCATCAGATTCAAGAATATAGCTATGACAATATTGAGATTTGAGCTGATAATCAACTGCAATTGACTTGTGAGAACTCATTTGTAAAGAAAGATTTAAAAGAAGATGATAAATCTTCTAAGCAGATCAATCACACTCATCAATGAGCTGATTCATAAGTTTAATAACTGTAGAGAGCAGTGAGTGACTTGAACTAACTCTTGAAATCACTCATTGAACAATCTGATGATAGGATTCTATGTCTGTTTCAGCCTTGACAATGTACTTAGACAGATAATTAAGAATGGCACAGCTGCTAGTGCAGAGAACAATGTCAGTATTTACTAGCCAGCTAACTGTAATCAATCTGTTATAGTTATTGAGAATTGAGTTGTTACAATGAGAATGCAGCTGATAATATCTACTATTCAAAGATTTGAGAATAGCACAGTTAGTTCAGCATTCATGTGAGAAGTGAAATCAGTAACATAGATTATCAGTGACCTGATGTTTACAAATGCAGTACTTTTCACTACAGTGATGATATTGAACACAGTTGAGAACTGCAGATAAATGTTCAATGACATTCATCTAATCAGAATGACTGAGGAAAAGGAATGACTGTGCATCTTCAGACTGAGTGTGATTAAGCTCAGAATTCTCAGTTATAATAATGATGTCTCAGTAGTCAGCAAAGGCTTGATGAGAGTCTTCATCTATATCAAGTTCAGGATTCAGCACATTCTTACATTAAAATACACTATATGAGTGCACTGATTCATGATCTTGTCACTCATAATGAGTTCAGTGATCTAGGATTTTGAAATTCAGATCTAGAATCTTTTCCTTGAAGATTGTAAGTTATAGATGCAAGTAATATATGACTATAGTGAAATAGTCATGAATACTATCTCTTACAAACTTCAACCTCTCAAGATCAGTGCTGTGCTTTTAAATAATATAGTCAGAAAAGTGATGCATCAGATCATTTCAGTGATGATCTGTGACTGAGAGAGTAAGAAATAGATGTGAAGATCTGATATTTTGAACATAGACTTATAGCTGATGATATTTTATATCTTAAAAAGAATGAGTTTCATGAAGACTCTCTGCAAACTATGTAAGTGAATTCAAAATCATAGCAGATTGTGAAGTGTCAGCAGTAAAAGCAGTCTGTAGCTTCTCTAGAGTGAGATTCTTAATAAGAGAGTCAGTTTGATTGTAGAAAAAGCAGTCCTGATTATTAATCTATCTATGAAATAGAGAATTGAAAAGAACATATTGAAAACAGCTATAATGAGCAAAGCAGCTATCATGATATTTAAGAAGAAACTGCATGTAATCTGCAAGACTAATTATTCTTTATCTAGAGAGAATGAATTCAGCTTCATCTTGTGAGAAAAGTATTGAAAAGATCTAAGAAAAGAGTGAATGAGTGTTGTTAAACTTACTAAGTAATGTATTATAGATCAAAGACAGAGTGAGATGATCAATCTATTCTTACTGTGATATTTCAAGTTCATGATGAAGTTACTCAACTTCAGACTGTGAGATCAAAAGATCTGAAACATCAGAGTATTCAGATAAGATATTCAAGTTATCAAGGTTTAAATAATTCTCATTCTCAATAGCTATTAATTCTTGTTTATCAAGCTTGTGAAAAGAAATCTGATCAGAGACATCTTTATTTTCAGATAACTGATTTTAAGTCTCTTCATCAATTACAATATTCTGATAATCAGAATGATTTTTATAGAGATAGATTAGTCATTGAGTAATAGTTTCTTTACAAACTATGAAATCTTGATGAAACTGATATTACAAGCAGGGATCTGCATTTGAATTTAAAGACTTTAATATAATAACATCAAGATTCTTAGAAAGAAGTGAGAGAGTGTTATAAACACAGTCAGTGTCTCTAAGAAAGCTAACAACATGATCTTTATACTTATACTGATGTTCTCTGACTTGATGAACCTCAATGAAGACATGCATGTGTGAAATTAACATCTCTTCAACCTGACTGAGAACAGAGAGATCTGAATCAAGATCATCAGAATCAAGGTTATTCTCTTGAGAGAATAAAAACAGCTTATCAGACAGCTGTCTTAAATTAACAGCATAATAATGAGTATAAATATCATCTTGAAGATTCATTCTAAATCAGTGAATTCAACAACAGCTACAGATCTTCATCTGTAAATCTTTAAGTATGTGATGAAATTCCTGCATATACTATCAATTATCAGAATTAACAGCTGAATCTATAAGATAAGTAGAACTCTGAGAGTTCATCAGAGAATCTGAGATAATTACAGTCTGTAACTGATTATATTTCTGAAGAATTATAAGAGCTTCTATATTTGATATATCAATTGAGCTTTCAGATTATATAGAGTGCTGAGATGTTAAGAGACTGTTAACTCTTCTATTAAGTTAATTAATAAATAAATCTGCAGAACTCTGAGAAACAGAACTTTGAGAAGTTGAGAGTAAGAAAAATAATATAAAAGATGTCTGCAGCAGAAGCATGCCTGTAAAAGTGAAATGAGATTGACTTGAAAATGAGTTGAATAATGACACAGATAATTGATGAAAGGTTGAAGAGAGATCTGCAGAACTAGAAGATGAATTAATTATCAAAGATAACAGCTGCAGCTGTTTTCTCAATTGAGTTAAGAATAAAGTTGATAAGAGATGTTTTCTATAATGTCTGATAACACAGTAAGCTCTTTGAATGATAATTTTCTTTTTACAGACTACTGTTAATGAAGATGCATCAGAACTATGAATCTCACAGTGATAAAACTTAATCTTAGATGACATGTCTGTTGCAATAGACTGTTCACAGGCTCAAGAGACTGCTGTTGATTGCATGAAGTATTAACATGTCTGAGATGATGAGAGAAGTTCAGGCTCATTTATCACAGAATCTGTGACTATAGAAGAATCTGGTTTCACTGCATGCATCTGTTTACAGTTCTACACAGTGTAAAGAGATAATCAGTGATAGAAAAGGTGTAATGAGAGAAGATTACAATACCTGAGTTCTCTGAGTGCAGCATTGAAGGCAGACAGCTGTAGAAGTAGTAGAACACTGTAAAGAAATGAATTGGTCAAGAGACTGGTTTTGCAAGCAGCGAACACAGGCTTTTGACGCGTTATTCATTCTTGAGAATCTATGAGAGGTGGTTGATCAGATGCATTATCTATTCAAGAATCTGTACGGAGTAGGTAGTTGATGAGATGTGTGATCTATTATTCAAGAATCTGTACGGAGTAGATGATATGGTTGATAAGATGAAAGATGAACGCGTTGTGAGCGTGTAGAAGAAGTCATAGTGCAATGTCATGAAATTGTGCTTCACTTAATTCTACATTAATCAGTGAGCTGTATTCACGCCAAGAACCTTAAAAAGGAAATTCTTCACTTTTAATGACCAGGGTTTTCATCATATATTTGCTTCGCTTCGCTCCGCAAATTAATTATTAAAGATTAAAACTATATACAGAATACATCATATAAATATATATGATTAATTCAGAGAACAGTTGCTTGACCTAATAATTCACCTGAAATGTGAAACTCATGATTTTGAAATGATTGAATCAGATCACAGTGTAGAAGATGTCAGAGAAGGAATATTATTTAATTTCATTAGAGAGATCTGTATGTAATACTTATTACTGCTTTCAGAGAATTGTATAGAGCTTCTACAGTGTTTAAGCTCACTGTTAATCTTCTTATAGATCTTTTGAGATCTTTATAAATATCTGCTTTACTAACTGTGCTTTATAATATTTAGCAGTATATTCTTTCTTCTCTTTTTACAGTTAAAGCTTTCATTTATCTCACTGTTACTTCTCTATAAGATGTTTAGCTACAGCTGCAGCTTTGATCTTCTCACAGTATTAAGCAGTTTCTAATTATTTTATAAGAGGTCTACGCCGAATAGATCAGTATAATATTTATAGATCTTATATAACAAAGAGAAAAATGTTAGAGAAGAAAAGAAAGAGAAAGTGTGAGAATCAGTGATCAGAGTGAATATTTATACATGTATATGATAATGTACATAGTGAAGCTTCAGGGCGGAAGAATCTATATATATTTATAACAGCTGAGAATCAGTGATTGAGAATGACTGAGAATCAGAGTGTATACATTTGAGAATAAAGTAATTGAAATCTGTGAAGTGTAATGAAATAGTCTATATCATTGATCAGATGCAGTCTGTTATATTAGTTCTCTCTTTTCAGAAGTAGTTCTCATCAGTTAAGAGCTGCTATTTCAGATAATATGAAACTCAGAGTTCAGATTGAGTGATTATATCTGATTCATTTTATGAGATATTATTGACTGCAGCTGTGAGATCTCTTATTAAGAATATTCTCAATCTCTTACTTAAGCTTATTATCTTCTTCTATAATGTCTGACAGCTGTCAGTTGAAAGTCAGTTAAGAAGAGAACAGATCAGTGATAGTACAGTGAAGCAAGCTTGTATAAAAGATATTATAAATCTCTGATAATATGTTAAGACAGTAGTTATAACTACTTAGAACTTCTATCACTTTATACTTTGTATAACAGTAATTCAGTATACAGAATGAATGTATAATCTGTATATTCTTAAGATTTAATTATATCAGATCTTCT